TCAAAGAACAATCTTTCTCTGACCATATCTACATTAGCTTTAAGCTCAATTTTGATCCTGCTCCTTTAACAGCATACAGGAACAAAAAGCGAACCGACTGGGCAAAGTATAAAAATACGCTGTCGGTCTCTCTACACAGATACGCTTCTCATGATAATTCCTGCTTATCGTTAAGATCTGATGAAGCGAGCCTCTCGAATACGAAAGTTGTTTCTCTCGGTGAGCTGGACTCATCGTCAAAAATTGATGAATCAGTGAACTTTGTGACAAATGCCTGTAATGCTTGCTTTTTACAGCCTGCCTAACACTGACTCACATACCACACGAGTGGACAAAGGCAAAGGTTGTATTCATAACAAACGGAGGCAAGGCTGCTCATGTGAAAACGAAGGATTTCAGGTCTAAAAGCCTCATCTCGTTCTTTCTCAAAACTCTAGAGAGGCTCATCGACGAATATATTCGACGGAATATTAAAGCTGACAACCTCTCCTCGAATCAGCATTCCTATTCCAAGGGGAAATCCGTGGAGACCGCACTCCATGAAATCTTAGCGACGATTGAAAAAGGATTGGCCTTAAAGGAATACACGCTCGGAGTTTTTCTCGATGTCGAGGGTGCTATCAACAACGTCTACCCGAAGTCTGTTGTTAACTCCCTTCTCATGGCGGGGGTGCAGCGAGGTCTGGTGGATTTTGTTGAGCTCCTTCTCGGAAAGAGAACTATTCCATCAGAACTGGGGGATGGTTCCATTACAAAGTATTTGACCAGGGGCACCCCCAAAGGGGCGTTCTCTCCCCTCTACTCTGGAATATAAAAGTGAACACCATACTTCTAAGCCTAAAGAGCACCGGTTGTCAAGTCATAGCGTACGCCGCTGACGTAGCAATCGTTGCAACGGGCAAACAGAGGACGACTGTCATGCTCGTCACGGGAGCCCTGCTCACTACACCCACCAAATCTCTTTAAATAATCTTAAATCTTCCACCTGTGGAAATGGCAAATTTCAGGCCGGCTGTAGTGCAGCCAGGCTAAATACAATGCAGCCGTGGAGAGACCTCAGAATCGGGCACGCAAAAGTACTTGAAACTCTACCGGATAATCAACGACAAATAGATTATACCACTCCTCTACTCTGTTTAGATAACAAATTCTTCACAAGCATCCCAGAGAGGAACGAGTGGGAAAGGGCCACAGACCTGAACCCAGGGTCCACGGCCATATATACAGATGGTTCCAAGCTTAACAAAAGAGTGGGTAGCGGGATCCACTCTGGCGAACTCGCGTAAAACTCAGTTTTCGCTTACCGGACCATTGTAGCGTTCTTCAAGCGGAATTAAACGCCACAATGAAGGCAGCTCGGTAGCTTATAACCTCCGCCCCTCTAGGACGGCCTATCTCTATCTATTCTGACAGCCAGGCTGCTATCAAATCTCTCAATTCTAACGAAGCAACGTCCAAAGTAGCCATCAAATGCAGGAAGACTTTCTACCTGCTGGCATCAAAATGCTCCTTGACTGTTGTATGGGTCCCTGGATACAGGGACATCCCTGGAAACTGCCTAGCCGACGAGCTGGCAAGGAGGGGGACGGAAATATCTGGAGTCAATTCTGCTCGGAATGCGGGCATACCTCTAACCTCCTGCACACAGACTAAAGGCGAAACTCGTTGAGAAGGTAAATATAAGATGGGCTGTGGAAACCACCTACTATATTACCAGGCAAATTTTGCCAAAGATTGACGTAAAGCGATCCATAGCTCTCACCCGGCTGGACCGCTCCTCTCTCAGATTAGCAGTCGGGGTAATCACCGGACACTGCCTGATGGGCACATACGGAAAAAGGTTAGGATACCTCCAACGATGTTGCAGAGACGAGGAGGAGATGGAGACCATCGAACACTATCTCTGCCATTGTCCCGCCCTGGCCAACATGCGCAACGAATTCGTCAACAAGTACTTTGTAGATTGTTTAAGCGATTTGAACTCAACTTTTTGTGCTATATAAAACACATAGAGCATTTAAAAAAAAGCCCCTCATATGACAAAACAGATTGAGCTTAAAAATCTGCATAAAAATATTTAAAAATAGTTTCAACGGAATCAAAATAATGAGATGCTGCTTTTTTTTAACTTTTTTCAAAGATTTGTTTACGGAAAACTTGAATACATGGACCTAACCTATTCCGATTTAGACTTATGAGCAGGGAACGGATTTTATGGAAATCGCCTTTTTTCTGCTAAAGAGATAGACTATATTCTATTAAGAATGTCCACGATTTAGCTCTCCCTGATTCCATATCCATATATACACATTTGATGTTGCCATTTTTTGCCTTTTTTAAGATATTTGCCCTTTTTTGCGTTTTTTAAGATATTTGCCTTTTTTTGCCTTTTCTTCCTTTAAAAGAGTGATTATAGCATTTACAATTGTTTTAAGATTAAAAAATATACACATTGCCCATGCGGCTTATAGAAGCGCAGAGACCTCTTGCCAAATTGGTGTTGGTAAAATTCAAAGCCGTTTTCTCAGCTAACGAAGGCTTGGTGACAATAAGGGGTGTGGATAAAATTGTAAAGGGCGAGGAAAACGCCCTTATTCCTGATAATATGAACGTTTCAAACGTTCCATATTTAAATTGGGCGCCGCTGTATCAACTTACTTCCAGCACACATTTAGTACATTCAAGGCTTTTCTTCGCGAAAATCGAATGAAAATGCTGCCAGAAAACTTCAAAATGCATCTTGTTGTTCAATGTTTCTACAACTATACAGATTAAAGTTTTGAGTTAGAAACTAGAAAGGATACAAGTAATTTTTAGCAAATAAAAAAACCGACTTCAACTCTCATATAAAAAAAATATTTATATATATATATATCTCATGATCCGCTGATCGGATCTTAACCAGATTAGTATGGGACCACCTCTGAGACACTACCTTTCCGATGCAAAAAGAATTATCGAAATCGGTTGACGTGGTCCAAAGTTATACATAAAAAAAAAAAAAAAAAAAATATTCCGACGAACTGATAACCTCCTCCTTTTTTGGAAGTCGGTTAAAAATAGTCAAAGATTCTAAGTACAAATTTTTCATATAATGAAACTAGTTCATAGTTTTTCTCTTTTTACTTGTAATATAAACATTTCTAAAATAAATGTATTTTTTGATTGTTCTTCGTATTTTCTGTCTTTTTTAGTGCCTTATATTGCTTTTTTTGCAATACCTAGTGCCTTTTCCTGCCTATTTCGTTATTTTATTTTGCCTTTTTTATAGGTTTTTAGGTCCTAAAAATCCGTTCTCTGCCTATGAGTATCAGTATAAAGGTATTTTCCCACTCTTTTTACCAATGGGGAAAAAACCCATTCACTTCCCACTTATTTTTCAAATACCAACACATCTTAATTTAACTTGGAATGACATTCGTTCTTACCTTTCTCTTCCATCCTTTGAATGGGGTTATTAGAAAAATAAATAAAAAGGGTGAGAAAGTACCTTTCCAATGATACCTCGCAAGTCTAAATCGGATTAGTTAAGGTTCAGTTATTACATTTTTTCTTATTACAATCTTTGAAATACTAAAAAAAACAGCATAAAAGCTAAACAAAATATTTTTGTGCAAATTTTTTAAGTTTGAACCGTTTTATCATTTGAGAGGATTTTTTTTTTTGAATCATTAAGAAACTTTATTCATAAAAAACTCAATTTTTGGAGGTAGTTTCAAATCGATCCAGCTCACATAAATCTTAATATTTTACCCAAAAATTTTGTTGGAAGTGTTAAAATATAATAGGTTTTATAATTCCCATATATATAATACTCCTATATTGGCAGTAAGAGCTAGTACCGTCCGAAAACACTACAGAACGAAAGAAAAGGAACACATACCCTGCAAGACAGCTGAGCATCAAATAAGTGCTCATTTTATCATTATCACTAATTACAAAAGTGCTTATTAAAATACTCATTTTTGTTCAGGCGATGGGATAAAACTGAGCACTTTCCCCTTGTTGGTGTAATATTTTACCTCTTCTTGCTAATTGAAAACTTTAATTAATGAAAAATATATCTGCTCTGCTANCCTTAAAGTAATAGTGGCGATGTTGAAGGTGATTTTGCTGGTAGAGGCGTGGAATGTTGATGGTGCGATTTTGCTGGTGCCGGTGTTGAACGATGATGGTGGCGATACTTCTGGTACCGGTGTTGAAGGTAATGGTACGATGTTGGTGGTGGCATTAAAGGTGATGGAGGAGGTGCGTGCGATATCAGCTGGTGACGGCATTAAAGATGATGGTGGGTTTTAATTTTAATTGTTGCAAATCTGTAATAACGAGAAAATCAATTAAAATGCACAAGTTAAGTAATTTACATATGTATGTACATACCTTAAAAATAATGATGCAAAGTCGACGGCAACGGCAACGGGAACATAAAATGAAATTTGAAATATCTATAAAATTATAAAACTTTTTTTTTTTCAAATGTGACATTTTTCGACAAAGCCTACTGTCATAAAAACTGTCATATTTCTTACTCGCTTTAACGCACAGAATTCCTATAAAAGTAGGAATTCCGCTCTAACAAAAAAATGAAAAATGTTTTACATTTCGAATACCAAATTTGTAAATGTGTGCGTGGTAGCTAAAAAGTTGCGAAAGTGTGTGTAACGCTGTCGAATTTGAGGGGAAACTGCTCAGCCATGGCTTGCACGTTTATAAATAAACATGTACACAACACATATACAAAAACGGCACTCAAGTACACAATACATTGACAAAAACGGTAATAGACTGTCTCTGTCTCTGCCTGATTTCGGAATGCTTACACATTGAGAAGTTAGCTTACTGCCAATATAGAAGTATTACATATATGATAATTCCAATGGAAACACAGTACCGATTTATTTGTTTGTTTGGGGAGTGATGCAGTCTAATATACACATATTTTTCTTTGATAAGGAAATAATCATTACAATCTCATATTTATACATTTATCTTAATTTTAGAATTATTTAACATATGGACCGGATAACGGCATATATAGCGGCTTTGAATCATCTAACAGAACTCAAAACTCCTCGCTTGTATTGCAAGCAGGCATGATTATGCCATCAAATGCAGTAGGAGCCCGTTCTTCGACAATAATAAGCTCTGGGTTATGCCAATCTCCAGACATCATAGGTATATCATCAAAAGCTCAAATGAAAGTGGCAACAAGTAACGTCATCGGTTATCAGAAGGGTGTAAGCGGCACACCAGCACCAGCTATTGTGATTCGCGACATTGATTGTAAGTATTGATCGAAAAAAATCCCACCATATACATATCGCTCGTTTAATAATATAACGAAGTATTTCAAAATTTCAATTTTGTGGAAAAACGCAACCAGTCATGCAGTCGGTACACAAAAAGACAGATGGAAAGACACATATCTTCGCCGTATTTGGGAAATTTGGTTATCTGTTAGACTGGACATATTATACTTATAAACCTTATTAATTGAATAATGAAATCTGCAGAAACGTAAATTTTGAGTTACATCTCTACATTATTAAACGTGCGATATGTACATATTACATCGTAAAAAAATTTAGAAAACAAGGTTTTTTCTTAACAGCGGTCGCCCCTCGGCAGGCAATGGCAAACCTCCGAGAGTATTTCTGCCATGAATAACTGCTTCTCATAAAAATGCAATCGCCGTTCGGAGTCGGCGTAAAAAGGCGCACGCCACAAATCGGAGGAGAAGCTCGGCCAAACACTAACATATGTTTAAGCGCCAATATATTATTATTATTATTATGTACATATTATGTTTATATGAATGATTGTGTGCGCCTACGTATGTACTAGGAATCAGGGTTCAGAAATTCTCATTTATGATTATTCGTTTTCACTAATTTATGAGATTTATCATGATCGAGAATATTCCAAATCAATTTCTGCATTATTTTATCGCGAATGAAAAATGCAAACAAATTTATCCTCTTTCATATTCGAAATGCGATCAACTAAAAATTGCCCGCTGTTCATTCGCGAACGAATACATGCAAATTCATGAGTGAGCCGAACATGTGAGGAGTTTATTTAGTGCTCTCAAGAAATATAACTCCTCTGAGCGAGATAGTTCTTTCATGGCTTTACGAGCTCTGTTTTTTTTTAACTTACAAGTGTGTAATCACATTATTTTAATAAATAGAACACAAGAAAATATTTTATTTTTATTTTTGCCACTACGAATTTAGTTTTGGAACTCACCCGCGATGCAAAATTACATTGATAAGGCCTTCAGACTAAATGTTTTTCCCACTTTTAGTGAACCGCCCTAATGCTGGTATATGTACATACATTCATATATACTATACACTCATACATGCTCATTTGTATTAACAACAGCTAAGCCGTTAACCAATGTATCCCGCCGGACAATGAACCTTCGTTAAGTTTCCCCTTAACGTCAGTTATTGTCCGGCGGTCCAAACTTAGAAACCGCAAATTATATTTGTCACTTCTTTTTGGAGATCAAAGAGGACACAACGCAGCTACCAGGCCACTTCCTAAAGGTGCGTCCAATTGCGAACCTTGCGACGTTTTACATTTTGGTCCTACTGAGCCGTGAGAGTTTGAAACACTAAAGTTCATCACCGCCATTTCTTGTGACATAGAGCGAGTTTTTTGGACACTGCCACAAGTGTAACACCAGCGCGGTTCTTGAGAGATACAGTCCATTGAATCTACCAGCGACCATTTTGCCACAACGCGAGCGATATTTGCAACCGCAATCAATACAGTCCATTGGTTTCAAATCACATACAGCGTGTGTGCCTGATTGTCAACGGATTTGCCCTAAACCTAACAAAGCCATCACAAACCGAACCTGTGCATCAATCAACAAATACCACTTTCCATTGAGCGTCCTCACACCAAAGTCACCGACGAAACAAGGTACATGGTTACACACATATTCAAGTGCACTTTCAAAAAAATATAAAATCAAGGCGTATTTAACAAGGTGGTGTTGGCCGTATATAAGTAAAAAATTACACTAACAAATTATACGCTGATGTCCATAGTGTCGTTGGTATGAGTTACAACAAACACATCATTTTGACGTAATGGCCTCCACGGCGAAAAACTCAGCTGTCGCCCCAACACCACCTTGTTTAATACACCTTGTATAAAATCATAAATCTATTTATTTTGTGAGCAATCGTGCTATATTTATATTGCATAGAAAAACACACGCCATTGCAAACGAGATTCACGCGGGTGATTTTGTGAAGAGCGAAAATTTGTGCATAGCTTTTCAAATTACCAAACGAACTAATTCCGTCTGTCCGCGAGTGACAAAGACGGCTCAGATTGGTTGCAAAGTGCACATTTTTACATACATAAACACACAAGTGAAAGGTGCCACGGTCAATTAATTTTCAGTTGCTTTGATATCATTTGTTTAATTCAATTAGTTCAAATAATTTCCCGAACCGATTCTGTCTGTCCACGGCTGGTAACAGACAATTGAAACGACAGTGAAAAGAGGTTATCAGTTGCAATTCATTTGTAATATATGTAATTGACTCTGCTGGTCTTTTGATTACTTCACCACCAATTTAATTTTTATTGTTAGTAAAACGTATTATTACTTGTGCGGCAATAGTTGCAATAAATTCGCGAACCACATTATGATCACTGATCGTCGGAGGACACATAACCTCTTTGTCTGAAACGAGCACGGTAATTTGCCTTTAACAATCGCACTATTTTCACAAAATCACTTCTGCGTGTGGATTCCTTGCAGTATTAATTTGCGAGTGTTATTATTGTCTTGTGAACGTATTTGCAAATTACACACATAATTAATAGCAGTTGGGTGGCGAGTCACTTTTTTATATATATAGTATATATACAGCTTTCATATCCTATTTGAATCCCTGATAATTGAAAGAGAAAAATATATTCAGTTAAATAAAGTTTTACCATTACTATTTTATATATAAATTTAACGGCTACTTTTTCAATTGCGGAAATTACTTCTTCTGTTTGGCGTTTCGACCACAAGAGTTGGTATCTTTTTCAGCGGCAGAAACTTTCGTTTATGAATACTTGGCGAACAAATTCGATAATCTAAGCATTTATTTTTGTCTAAGAGTAAGGTTGCTACCACATCGTCGAATTTATCTGTGATTGATTTTAATTCAAGTACCATTTTTAAACATGGAGTCGTTCATTCGGTTGGCAGAGGCAATAATCGAATTTGAATCCGATTTTAGCAGCACGCCACCTGCAGAGCAAAATAAACATGGTCTTGCAATACAGCAAGACGAACTGAAAGATATGTGGGAAAAAACTAAACAAGGGTATGATACTATAATAAACA